GGGTTATTTCCTCAAACCTTTTTTTTAAACTTTATTTTAAATATTTTTTTTTATAAATTAATAATTTAATTACAATAGAAAGATGATAGATGAATAGAAAATATAAACAAAAATCATATATTATTAAACACTTCTCTATACACAACATTATTGTTTTGATTTTCTTTCAAACCTTCTTCTCCACAAATTAAAATTTTCAGACCCTTTCTGTTAGTAACACGGGAGACAACGACATATTACTGGCCATGACTAAAAACTGATTTCTTCAAGAATAAGCCAACATGTGATAATGATTGACCTTGACTCTTGTTTATAGTCATTGCGTACGAAACCATAATGGGGAAGTGCCTTCTTTGAAATTTGAATGGCACTCTAACATCAGAAAAAGTTATTGTCATCCGAGGTATCAAAACTTTATCACCTGCATGATCGCCAATAAGAATTTTACACTCGAGAACATGATTGGAAAGTTTAGTCACAACCAATCGTGTACCATTGCAGAGTTCCATTGAGTGATCCATATTCCGCAACAACATAATTGGAGTTCTGACCTTCAAATTCAATTCATGGTTCGACGTTGCAGAACACTTGATAGTGTTCAAGAACTCAGGAGTATGGAGTTGTGCCACAAAGTCGGTATTGGAGTCGGATTTACACGTACTGTCTGAACTTAAATACGTGCGTCCCTCAGTCAAATTTAACGACGACATGTATTCATTAACAGATTCTACGATATCGAGTGTTGGTGCAAGTATAGCTCTATCCTTCAAGTAACTTGGATCGTCGGTTGCATTCTTGAACATCGGAAACGTGATTTCAACAATTTTTGCTTGGATCATCGGATGACTCCAGTAATAGATCATGGTATGTCTATCGGAGAACATCCATCATTTTTACCCCCCAATGTTCCATCTCCAATGCTCGCTATCCAATCAGCAAAAGCGGCCAACTCGTCACGTTCATTCGAATCGCCAATGCTCTGAAGACGCATATTCCTTGTAAGCATAAGCACAGTACATTCTCCCCAAATGCTAGAAGAGTTAATAGCAGCATTAACAATCTCCTGACGACTTTCCTTTGGAACTACTGGAAGGATTTGTAGAAAGTCTCCACCAAACACAACAGTCTTGTCTCCGAACGGTTTATGATGATTTGTCGGGTCGAGGGCTTCCATTATTGCCTTAACAAATGCTTGAACAGCTTCGAAACAATGCTTATGCATCATTGGGGCCTCATCCCATATGATCAATGAAGAGCGAATAATCAACTTGGCAAGGGGGCTAGCCTGATTGATCTCACACGATGAATTTTCATGCACAGAAATAGGAATTTCAAATCAAGAATATTGTGCAGTTCGTCCGCCCGGCGACAGGAAAGATGTTATTCCACTTGATGCAACACAAAGCACAATTCGACCGTGCAATCTTAGCCGAGCAGCTAGAGTCCTCCACAAGTATGTCTTTCCAGTTCCCCCATAACCATACACAAAAAACACGCCGCCCCTGCCGGAATGAACAGATGTCATTATTTTGGAATAAACACTCTTCTGTTCATCGGTCATATGTGTCAGCAATGCATCATACTCAATAGCTAGAGCCTTACGGTCATAGTTAAGTTCATCCAAAACCAGACGGTTCGCACTTGAATTAGTACTACCCATATCTGAAAAAGGCATAGTAGAATAGTCCTTTATCCCAAACCCAACCTAACTCAACCCAACATAATATTTATTTTATATTTATTTATATATTTATTAAATATTATCTACAATAATTTTTTCGGTTATTGTTTTAGTTGTGATATGATAAAATAAAAGATATGATAAAATTGATAAGTTACGATTAAGAAAAAAGAGTGAAAAGATAGAAATTGCAATTATGTTCCAAAATATATCAAGAGTGGTCTCTATTTATAGAGAATGAAAAATAAATTTTTATTTATTTTTTTCATATAAATTAATATCAATAATTTGAGTTACAATTATCTTATTATAGAAAAATTTTATAGACCAATAAGAATGGGACACTTGCCCCATTTCACTCACTTCATTTCTCTCTCCCTCCTTGTGGCTAGGTTGCGATCTAGGGTCACAATTTGACCTGAGTCGCGGATTTTGCTATTTGTTTTATTCTTTTATTATTTTTTTAGTTGGTGACCTAATAAAGATAGTATAATATTTATTTTATTTTTATTTATTTATTTAATAAATATTATCTACAATACATTGCTTGGTATTGTTTTATCTACAACCTAACCCAACATAATAATTTCAATGTGTTCCAAAACATATCAAGAGTGGTCTCTATTTATAGAGTATGAAAAAATACGAATTTTGCTATTTTTTATTTTATTTTTAAAATAAAATAATATCAATAATTTGAGTTATACTTATCATTATCATATAAAATTTTTATAGTGGACCAATGAAAATAGGACAAGTGTCCCATTCCTATTGTATGAAAGTTAGATAATATGGAATCTCCAAAAAATCTTCATGTAATCTTTTTATTTAGATTTTTTAATTTTTTTTTTCAAATTTTTTAAAATTGGTTGAATGGCGCTCAGATTTAAACCTTTTGCCAAAAATCTTTAGTTTCATTATATTGACTTTAGGCGGGAAATGAATTCTTTTTTTTTTTTTTACTGATTTTCTTGATCTTTTTTCAAATAAATATTATTCCCTCTTTATATATTAATAGATTTATTCATAGAAATTACCAAATCTATTAATATATTTAGAAAGAGATGGATTCCAATAAAAATGAGAAATAAATAAGAATACATCACAGTTGTGAAATCTAATAATCCAACTCATATAGCACCCAAAAATGAACTTTGTGAAATCTAATAATCCAACTCATATAGCACCCAAAAATGAATTTGGCACATCTAGGGATAGCAATTTGGTCGGACTCAGTCCGATCTGGCCCGACCTGCAGGATTTGAGGCGGGTTGAACTCGCCCCGTTACTAAACATCAGAGCAGGTCCACCCGTTGCGTAAACGACCAGATCCGGGGCATAGATGGTGGCCCGCTAGTAGGGTTGTCAGAAAAATCCATCGGGTCGGGTAACCCGCGGGTAACCCAAAAAATCGGGTCGGGTATACCCGGTAATGGCGGGTTTCGGGTCGTGCGTGGGTTTTTTTTCTTATGCCCGCAGTCTGGGTCGGGTCGGGTACATGTTTAACAAAAAACCCATTACCCGACCCGTTTACCCGGTGAGTTTTTTTAACCCGACCCGGCTTTTTACCCGCCCGATTACCCGCACACCTAATAACTATAGATACAAATAAATATACAACAAATACATGTTCCAAAAATAATAATTTAGTAACTAAAATATTTTTAAATTTTTATATATATTGAAGAATGAAGATGGGGTATATTTATATAATTTGGACATAACATAATTTGGACATAACATTTTGTTACTTCTTTTATTTTTATAAGTATGAGCATCACATATATAAATATGATCAATTTATAATGTTTACAGAAAGAGAATAGCTCTAATTATTAAAAATAACATATATATAATCTACATATATATATATATATATAAAGGTTGTTGGAAAATACTTAAATAGAAAGTTTGACTTTTTAATTAAATAATTTGACTTCCTATTTAAGGAAATATTTTAAAAAACAATTAAACAAGTGACTCATCTATTTAGGATTGTTTGTTTGTAATATTAGGAAAAAAAATATTGTTAGAACTTTCCTATTTACTTGCCATGTTATAGGAATTTATTTTTATTATATTATATATATATATATATATATTAGATTATGTGTCTTTATATGATTCATTGTCGGTCCATTTTTAAAATGATAAATACGTATACTAATAATGTTAAAAATACAATATGGGATTCCAATTGTCCTATTTACTTGCCATATTTTTTGTATCCATTTTTCTTATTATAGATATATATACATATATATATATATATATATATATAT